GTGTGGGCCACACCCCCCCCCCCAAACAAGGGTCACCCCCCCCAGCGTGGGGCACAGCTCCAAACGAGGGTCTCTCCCCCCCGCCCCTGCAGCCCCCCATGTCTCCCACCCCAGGCAGCACAACCCCACATGAGACCCCCGTGACTCCCCCCGTGTCCCTGTCCCTCGCAGTGTCCCCAGGGCAGCTCTGGAGCTTCACCCCCGGCTTCTCCGGCCTGATTTCATTTTAATTCATTATTATTATAAATAATAACTCTCCCCCCCCCCAGACATCGTGTTCCCACTCCCAGGCACGTTCCTCCCGGCCATCACAGGTCACTGCTCATGTCCTCAACTCTCCCCTGAGAGTGGGGGAGGAAGGAGTTCACACACACTCCCCCTTGTCCCCCCCTTGATTTAAAGGGACATTTTTTTCTTATTACAAAATATCTTTTACTGCCCAGAGGCCGCGGCGCTGCCCGGGGGGGGGGGGCTGGTCCTGCTGAGGTGCCACCAGGCTGGGGGACACGGGTTGTAGCACGGTGGCACCTGTGTCCCCGTGGCCCCCCAGGGAATCTGTCGGGGTAGGGGGCATTTGGAGCCCAAGGGATGCTCCAGGAGGAGGAGGATGGTGATGATGCTGCTGATGGCGGTGAGGAGGATGAGAACGAGGAGGAGGATGGTGGTGAGGAGGAGCTGGAGGAGGAGGATGAGGATGAAAACAAAGAGGAGGATGGTGGGTGGGAGTGATGAGGAGGAGGTGGAGATGGAGAAGGCCAAGGAGGAGGCGAAAGGAGCACCCTGAGGGCTCAGCAGGGCGCGGGGGCGCGGGGGCAGAGCAGGTGGCGGAAGGCCCTGCGGAAGTCACGGTTGAAGATGGTGTAGATGATGGGGTTGAGGGAGCTGTTGCAGTACCCAATCCAGAAGAAGACCTGGAAGACACTGTCGGGGACCTTGCAGTGATGGGGACAGAGGGCACCCAGGCTGTAGAGGAAGAAGAAGGGGAACCAACAGAGGATGAAGACACCGATGACCACGGCCAGGACCAAGGTGAACCTCTGCTCCCGCTTCACCTGGGTCTTCCTCCTCCGAGGGTTCAGCTCATGGGTCAACACTGCCCGCCCCAGCTTGGTGGCCAAAGTGTCCCTGGGGTGTCCTTCAGTGTCTCTGGAGTGGTTCCCGTTGTCCCTGGGGTGTCCCCTGATGTCCCTTCGGTGTCCCCCGGTGCATTCCCCAGCCTGTGGGCATGTCCCCACCATGGGGCTGGGGGATCCTGGGGGCTCCTCAGGGCTCAGCAGCGAGGTCCTGTCCACTGGCAGGCAGGTCCTGGGGGGTTCCCTGCTGGTGACATTTGGTGACATGTCTCCAGGTGGTTTGGTGACGTTGGGTGATGTGGCTTCAGGTGGTTTGGTGACGTTGGGTGACGTGTCTCCAGGTGGCCTGGTGCCTGCAGGGCGGGAGCGGTGCCGCCGTCTGGCGATGAAGTAGATGCGCAGGTAGACAAGGACCATGATGAGACACGGGGCGAAGAAGGAGCCGATGCTGGAGGAGAGGACGTACCAGGCCTCCTCGTTGAGCTTGCACTGCAGCCGCGTCCCCACCTCCTCCTCCTTCTTCTCCCCCCCCTTGTAGAGCAGGGGCGGCAGGGAGATGGCGGCGGCGATGGCCCAGACGGTGACGATGCCGCACTTGATGCGCCGCGGGGTCCTCTTGGCGTTGTACCCAACGGCGCTGACCGACCAGTAGCGGTCCAGGCTGATGGCGCAGAGGTGGACGATGGAGGAGGTGCAGAACAGGACGTCCAAAGCCAGGTAGATCTCAC